GAGACTAGCAGCAGCAGCAGCATGCACAATTGAATTTTGAACGCTTGAGTTACTCACCGAGTTAAACTGATACAGCCTGTTATTTAGTCTTTGCCCGCACGTTTTCGAGACAATGTACCTCTTGTGCGCAGTGCACAAAGGCACAAGAAGAAAAAAAAGAATCTTAGTTTTAAGCATATTTTTAAACTCGTATCGTAGTGTTTTTGAATTGCTACCTCCGTTGGTCGCTTTTATTATTCTTAGTTTTCATTATAATTTTCTTATTTATTTATTCGTTTTTTTTTGTTTTTTTTGTTTTTGTTTTATTTTAGTTTTTTATCATTCACCATAGGGTGTATAAGACAAAAAGGATTGAGAGTCAATCGTAAGATGTGACGGGCATCTTTGAAAGAGCCTGTAGTTAAAAATCCAATTGGAAGCGTGTAGAGTATTAGGAAAGAGAGAGAGAGAGAGAGAGAGAGAGAAAATAAGTTGAATTTTAAAAGGTAGGAAATGACGCTTTAATGTGGTATGAATAATAAGTCGATAATGCGAAAGGTGATAAATGTTGAACATTCCGCAAATAAAATTTTTAGACAGTCTATCGATCGATTGTAAAAACCATGACGTGTGGTCAGCGTGCCGACTTCCTATATTCGAAATATATACATTATCATAATTACTCATGATTATAAGAATCGTATCCTATTTCTAAAAACACGGGGCATTTACAAAATAGCGCACATGTTATTATTATTCGCTGTTAATTTTACATTTTTAATGCATGACATTGAGAATAATTCCCAATGAGCAATAACTAATTGGTCAGTACTGCGAATTAGCGCGCTCGTTTCTTAAAAAAAAAAAAAAGAAAAGAAAAAAGAAAGAAGAAAGAAAGAAAAAACAGAGAAAACCCAGTCGGTAACAGGGAGTCGTGGATCAGCAAATTTTGTCGAAAATTATCTTTCCCCGCGACTTTTACGTCGAGTCATCGGTGGATTGTCCATATCTTGCAAACATTTCTAGAGTAGTAAACAAGAAAAGAGCAGCGCCAAACAAGACTGCCTACGTGACTCACTTGAAAATTTCCGAATATAAAATATACAATGGCGTGGCGTTGAAAGGGAGAGAGAGAGAGAGAGAGAGAGAAAGAGAGAGAGAGAGAGAGAGAGAGAGAGAGAGAGGAACGTCGGCTAGGAACACAAAAAGGCAATACAGAGACGCGATGAGGTCGGAGTTCGCAGAAGCGCCCGAAAATATTTAAAAAGTCCCAGGTCCTTGTGCGCGCGACGCGCGGCACCTCCAAAGGATTCTCCGGTTTCTTTCAAGGAAAATTAATCGCCGCTCGGGGTGCCCATGGGGCGATAAAAGGACGCGCCCGACCTATGAAGGGGCGGAAAGGAAAAGGGCCACGGCGACGGGCGCCAAGGAGTTTTCGTTCCGAGGCAGCACCAGATGTGCATGGACGAGACACGTAGGATACTGCTACTCGGAAGGCGCAGCGACGGAGAATGAGTGAGAGAGAAAGAGTGGCGCCGAAAATTATGGAAAAAGTTGTCGCGAGGGTTTGTTGGCGGTGCTGAGTGGAGTGGCGTATGGAGGCGGCTGAAGGTGTGGGGGGCAGCAGCAGCAGCAGCAGCAGCAATAGTAGTTTACAAAGGGCGTCCAGGGGACTGTAAAAGGGACACATCGGGGCCCGAATGAGTAGAGTCGAGTAGCGCAAGGGCTCGTTGTTTTGCAATTATGATTTTTCCCCTTCCGCGACCGATCGATGCTGCCTGGCTGGCTCTCGTTTTTGTCCGCTCGAGTCTCGATGCAGCCGCCACGGTGGTATTATTTTAATTTTTTACATTTGAAAGTCAATGGGCTGGTCGCTTTTCGTAATAACGTTAATTTAGATAATGCCAATACTCAGAGCCGTGCGTATCGACTTATATCCCGAGGCTTCGCAAGGCTTCCCAAGGCTTACACAGTATTGGCAAAAAGGTGCGACCTGGCGAGTGGAGTCTCCTTGGATTTCGAAACGTAGTATCAGATGATGGGCGTCGAGTCAGTTCCTCCGTGAAACTCCTTTAAAGCATCGCTAGCGTATTATGTCATTGTTAATTTCAATTTGAAAGAAGAGTATTACGTAGGAGGTGTTGCTTGTTTGCTTGCCACACCGTCACGACCATCGAATAGATAATTACGCAAACGTTGCAGGCAATTAATTAATGGAGCGGTAACGCGCCTGCGTTATTATTGCCAATGCCGTGGATAAACGACGTTCCAACCTTAATTCCCCCCCCCCCGTCAATAATTTCAGTGATTGCCACATTTTCGCTAATCGTCATTGAGTGTGATTTTCGTCGCAAACCCTTATGCAACAACCCGTGAGAATTAAAATTTTAATTAACCAATGAGAAAACGCCCATTGGCCCTCGATATGTGACCCACCGCCCCCGTTATACTACCGCGCATACTTTTATGTAATAGTGCTTGGAAGTGTAGCGGTCGACTTGATCAACTTAATCAACTTAATCAACTTAATATTACATAACGCGTGCTTCGCTCGACTCGTGCCCAACACAACGACAAACTGTTCGTTAATTTACAAAACCATCGATTACTAATGAAAAGTTCACTCATTAAAGCGATCGCGAGGCGTGCCGAACAATAATAATTGTGATAAAATACGAGGAAATAAATAAAAGCGCGTCATAGGAGGAGGAAAGCCCATTTAAGATTTCCGAGCACCGTGTTCGATGAAGACGGACGATTTTTCCAGTCAAGTCCGTAAGTTGCCGGTCGCAAATTTTGTTTTTGTTGTTGTTGTTGTTGTTGTCGTTATTGTTAAATTTATGTATTTCTTTATAGATATATATATATATATATATATATATATATATATATTTCTTTTTATGTGCTTTAATCTTTTTTAAAGGATATGCACGCGCGTTTGCCTCAGTCATTATTTCGTATTTTAATTCGCATTTTAATCTCATTATTTGTCCATTTTTGCACGCGCGTTACGTATCGCGCCTAAAGCCCCGAGATGATATCATTAACTGGTGGGCGAAAGAGGCGAGAGCGCCATGCATATGCATTTTAAAATGCGCTCCGCCTGCGATTCATCGGCAAAGTGTAATTAAGATCGAAGCGAAATAATGAGCGGCGAATTAAATCGTATTCGCCGTATAGGGTCAGTGTTAAATTGTTACGAAATAGATGCAGATTAGCGCCTTATTATAGGTACTTTCGTCGTTATATCAAATAGTTTTGCGAGGGCTCTTTACGTGTAGTGTAGGAGTCGAAATATTCACGCGTATGCGGAAGTTGGCTTGTTGGCTTTTATCTTTGACGCTTCGATTCTGTGTTTAATGTAGTCTCGTCGGGCTACGCTTTTTGCTCGCAAGTACTCAGCGAGTATTATCTTGAATGTATAGATAAGGAGGAAGAATAGAGGAAACATCGGTGTGAATTTTCACTGAAATTCGCGATGCAACGCAACGTAATAAATGTATTCGCTTGGCTATATTTATTAATCGAACTCATTCGCAAAATAAAAATACGTGCATTAAATATTTTAAAACATTCGACTACAGTCGGACGGACGTTCAGTATTTATAAATATGTAGATTTTAGAATTTATAATTCAATCATCGTTTATTATTTTTTATTTTTATTTTATTAATATTGTTTTTTTTTTTTTTTATACTAAAATTGCCATTATACATGACTACTGGCTTGCATTGAAATTTTCTCAATGCACCGAAAGTATCGTAGTTCGATATTTTATCCAAATTTAAATCGATAAACTGGACGTCCACCACGATTGATGGCACGTGTCCATCTATGAAAACAGTGCTTGTATTTTCAACTAAAATTTCAAACGATGAACAAAAAGAAAACGAGTATTATTGTCCTTTTGTGTTTTTAATATCTTTTAATAAAACGTAGGTCGTCATTTTTAGGACTCTCCGAGCAATTTTTGTCTTCACTCCAAAGCACGTAAATGTATATACCTAATGTTTTTGGTCAATACGTCGGCCAATGAGCGCTAGACTACAAATGTTAAATATTTTGTTAAATAGAAGGAAAATGCGCTCGCGCGTCGAAAACAAGCAGCAACGCCTTAGCTATAAAAAAAAATGGGACATACGTATAATCCGGCTTAGCTTAGTTACGCCTATTATAATAATACATACAACAGTGTTAAAAACGTAGTTTTTTTTTTAATTTTTTTTTAATTTAATTTTATTTTATTTTTTTTTTTAATCAAAATAAAATCTTTGATTTTAATACTATAAGCAGTGACTGAACTTACTACGATCTACGCATTTTTAAAGTTATTCTCTCAGTTGTATTAGTTTACTTAATAATAAAATGCCAGCAAACATTATTAGTAGGACTAGTGTAATAAATAGCCTGACACAAAAAATAAAAAGAAATAAACAAGAAAATGACAAACTCCTCAAATATTTCATTCGCTGCATAATCGCTCGATTTATTTCCCTTTAGAACAACTGCGATTTAACAAACATTAATCATATGCTCGATTATGCATAAAAATCTATCTAAATACGTACATATTCTTTCGAATATATATGTCACCGTGTATCTGTATTAAAAATATGCATGCTCCGCCTTCGGGCTGCAACTCATCGACATCCGTCATGCATTAAGATCGAAGTGAAATAACGAGCTGCGGCCTCCGCGTGTGTTTGGACATCCGTGTATTTCAACTCGGCCAATCATCGCAGGACCGCGACGCCTTTTTACTCGCCCAAGACGACGTTGATTAGTTTAGTTCTCCGTGTGTGTGTGTGTGTGTGTGTGTGTGTGTGTGTGCCTCCTCCCCCCGTACCACCGTACCCCCGCCCTCGCCGCCCCGCCGCGCCCACCTTCCCTCCGTCACGCCGACCCGTTGTATCAAATGATGTGTGCTCGCGCGCACGCACGCACGCACGCGAAAAAGGCACAAGCGCGCAGGGGAGTCCCCAGAATCCAGATGAGGCGTCGTCGACGCGGCTTAGTTAGTTAGTGCGCGTTAGACTTTACGTAAGTGCGGTTTGTGTGCGCGACGATGGCAGAAGTGGCTGTCGCGGCCTTTATCGCGAGCAAACGTCGTAGTATTTTTCATCGCCATGCTGCCGCCCACTTTTAGAGGTATACTGAACCATGGGCTGTGTGAAGCCTTGACACTCATTCGGCGCGGGATGCGTGCGTGCGCGGGCCTTGTTTATCTTCGATTTTTTCGCGTCGCTCTGCCGGCGCTTGGGCTTTTAGGTTAGATTTTGAGGGAGGGTTCGCCGTACGTGCTGCTGGTGGTGCACGCCAGTGCTTTCAAAATACGCGATTAATGATTCGATGCTTTTAAGCACAGTACTTGTTTTTTTTTTTAATGCGAGTGCGGTTGTGTAAGGTATCAATGATAATTGCTATCGGCGCACCTGTATGGTAATGACTGTTTTTTAAAAAAAAAAAAAAAAAAAAAAAAAAAAAAATGAAAACAAATGCCATACTGAACGTCGGATCGTTTAGTTATGTAAATATCAGAATGTTTTGCGAGAAGTTTGTTTTTTGTGGTATATTCGCGACATCCTCCCGACCCAATCTAAGACAATTGTGGGGTGTGGCTTTTCTAAACTATAAAATTATGCTGTACCTGAAATAGTAACGTGACCAAGTGTATGTAATCTCGAATCTATTGTATGACAAATGTGTAAAAAAAAATGTCAAGGTTATGGAAGACGGTTAGGCCTAGAATCAGTGTTATAATAACATTTAGAACAATTCAAGCTATTTGTCTTATGCTACAAGAGCTTGTCTTAACAAGAGGAAGACTAATATATTAATTTTTTGTAATCTCATTTCTTTCATTCATTCTTTTTCCATCTCTTATTACCTTTTATTAATTTTTTCTTATTATCAAACAAAAAAATTATCTATATATATATATGTATATGCACAGACAGACACACGCACACACGTGCGAGAGAAGGATGGTGTGTGTGTGTGTGTGTGTGTGTGTATGCGATAAAAACAGAGAATGAACCATTCTTAAATCAGAGCCTCGTATTTTCACAATTAAACCAATGATCATGTAGACTATGTATCACATCGATAATCATACAATTAATATATTACACAAAGTTCCGTGTAATGGTAGTTATCGATGGTACTTTTATATATAAATACTTGCCAGACATTATATTAAGTCTTTGCATCGATAAAATTTATATTCTTTTCATGATATTTCTTATGCGTATAGAGAATGTTTGAAAATGATACAATAGAATAATAAGAATTATAAACGCTACTAATTATCTTGCATTTAATTTCATTCAAGATATTATTATCGTATTTGATGCTTATGTGTGCCTTTTATATGCTTACAGACCACCACAATCAACAAGCTTAGTGAGTTGCGCAGGTCTGAGAATAAGATGGCTGGTTTGCTGGAACATCGAGACAATCATATTTTATCCCAATTCAAATTAAAGCCAAATTTAACGCCTAGAGCACCAACACCACCTCAGTCTGATGGTAACGAAGTGGATGATGCTGGAAGTATGGATTACAGGTAATATTGTCAGCCAATATTGTTATTACCAATCCATTGTGCATTATTGTATAATAATAATAGCCAGACTACCATTCCCTTTCTTAATGCTGGGGACTGAGATAATATTATTGTGCCAAAGTGGCGTCGAGTCAAGCCCGTTCTCGAACGAAAGCTTAAGACAAAATAATAGCACGATAATAATGACCGGACTAAGAGAGTGGGCATCTCGTCATCTCGATTCGCAGGTTCGAAGAAGTGAGACTGCAGAGCTTCGAGAACTGGCCGTCCCCGTACATACGTCCGGCCGACCTGGCCGCCGCGGGATTCTACTATACGAAGCAGATCGACAGGGTGCGATGCTTCGAGTGCTCCACGGAGATCTGTCGATGGGAGGACGGTGATGATCCGATGGTCGAGCACCAGCGCTGGGGCGGACGATGCCGCTTCATACGGAAGCTGCCCTGCGGCAACGTGCCGATCGGGGCCGACGCGAGTATGATACCCTTGCCCCGGCCACGTAGCAGGGACGTCTGTGGTCCCTACAGGCTGGACTACCGGCTAGGTGCCGAAGCCGACACCCACGCCTCGTCGAGCGGCTCGAAGCACGGCAGACAGTCGCTGCACGAGGCGCAGGACGCGCAGCAGCTGCCATCCGCGGCGAGGTTGGGCTGTCTCGGCATCGGCATCGCCAAGAGGCCCGACTTTCCGGACTATGCGAGCTACGAGGCCAGGTTGCAAACCTTCACCGAGTGGCCGACATCCATGGCCCAAACGAGGGAACAGCTCGCCGATGCCGGTTTCTTCTATACCGGTACCGGCGATCAAACCACTTGTTATCACTGCGGGGGTGGGCTGAAAAACTGGGAGCCGCAGGACGACCCCTGGGTGCAGCACGCCAAGTGGTTCTCCACGTGTTTCTACGTTAGGCTCGTCAAGGGACAAGAGTTCATCAACAACGTCACCGGCAAGCACGTACCACCGCTATCCGAGGAGGTAATAATAATAATTGATCGCCATGATCGATTGTTTGGCACGCGAAATTTTGGCTGCTGGTCTGGCCTATTCGCCTGTAACCTCATGTATTTTACGAGCGACCTAAGCGATGATCCCATTATTTGCAGCCATCGCAATAAGCATTATTCTCGTGTTTTGTCGTCAAGTCAATGTGACGATGACTCTCAAAGCTACGTGCTGCGCGTTACATCACAGACCTTCGGCTCGTTAATGATCCATTTGAATTTCTAATCGTCGTGCGTTAACATAAACGGACGTTGTTGTTTGTTTTAAGCTCATTATCGGATTAATGTTAAAACGTAAAAATGATTAATTCAATGCGCCCGTTAAAGCGCTTTTTTATTTACTTACCCTGCCGTCGATAAAGCAAATGCTAATGTAATTAGTGAGATCGAGCAGAGCAAAAATGGGGCAATTGGGCCGTTGTACTTGCATTTAAAGAGAAATAAGCAAGACATTTAACGAGACGGCAATTATTGTACGTTCTAGGAAACCATGCGAATGAATCTACCGAGTTGCATCAAGAAGGTCGAGTCTCCGGTGCCTCAGAAGCGCGAGGCTAAGGAGGAAACGGCGCAAGAGCCGCAGCAGTCGGAGCCGAGCGAAAGTACAGCAGGACCAAGTAGTAGCGAGTGCCCAAGCCCTAAGCCCCGGACAATCAATGAGCCCCAGAAGGAGCTCGTACCCGCTTCCTCGACGAATAGTAACAGTAGCATCAGTAGCGGTAGCGGTAGCGCCAGCGCGAATGCCGTAGACGAGCACCAAGAGCACCAAGAGCAGCAACAGCAACAGCAACAGCAACAACAACAGCAACAACAGCCGAACGAAAAGAAGTCGATCGATGACGCGCGCGTCTGCAAGATTTGCTACAACGAAGAGCTCGGGGTCGTATTTTTGCCTTGCGGCCACATGGTCGCGTGCGTCAAGTGCGCCCCGGGCATGACGACGTGCGCCGTGTGCCGCGAGCCCGTCGCCATGACCGTACGCGCCTTCTTCTCTTAGTGCGTCGTCCCACGTGGACATAAGCGCCTGCAAAACGTCGCACGTGGCTCACGTCGCGCGCCGCGCTTCCCAGACCCCGTCGCCGTCGTCTCCTGTCGTGACAAGTGCTGTAGCGCGCCATGATCTCGACCGGGCTGACGACACTGTTACGCGCGCGACGCCCGGGCTGATTATGACATGACATGACTCATGCGCCTCATCTGCTGGAAACTATAAACATGAAAGTGACGAGCAGTCGCTCCTTTTTCCCTCGGTATTATTTTTTACTCTCCTTTGCTCTTACTTTCGTTTTTTCTTGTTTTTTTATTTAATTTAATTTAATTTTTTTTGTTTTAAATTTTTTATTATTATGCATTTTTACTTAATATGTTTTATTTTTTAATTTTTTAATTTTTTAATTTTTTAATTTTTTAATTTTTGTTTCTTAAATCTTTGACTGTTGCTTGTGAAGCGTTTCCTCGGGGAGTCACCGAGTTCGAGTCGCGCAATGAAGTACAAAGAAATTTTCATTGTCGGGATTTCGTGAGTCGAGATATATAAATAATATTCGTGTAAATGTATTTGTGTCTTAAAGAGAAATTTTTTTATACTAGACGTAAATCGAGTTTGTTTGTTGTCTTGAACTTGGCGATTTTCCATGGGAAACGTTAACCCGTTTTGTGCACCGCAATTACATGGAGGCAAAGAAAAATTGGCACTTTTCTTTGATGCACATTGATCATGATTTGGAAGAAAAACATTTTCTAATGCAGATTTTTTGTTTCTTTGGCCATTAAAGAATCAAGATCAAATTTAAAATCTAAATATTTCTTTTCTTATGTTTATTATTTTTTAAACGTTCGTGTCGAGTCGATTGAGGAAACTAGAACTTTGCGTTTATGTTTATAGTTTTCGATGATTGTTTAAAATATATGAATACAGAGGATGTACCTTGCGATCGACGCATGCAGTCTAGTCATTTTCAGTATTAATTTAAGGTAATCAATGTGATTTATTATTTGCAGAAAGAAACCTTACAAATAAAACTAAAATTTTAAGTGACTTTTTTTTAACTGAATAATGCAAAATATATTGATTGTTTTAATATTGAAATCGAGTTTTATGATCAAAAGGAATTATTAAGATAAAAAATCAAGGAACTCATATTATCTTGATAAGTATCAATTTTAATTGGAAAATTGATATATCCAAATACAAAGAAAATGGAATTCATTCATGTACTCGAAACTGTAGTAAAGAAGAAACGTCTTTCATCAATCCTCTTGCATATCTCCGAACACACTTTTAGTTCAATATTCCTAGTTTTGATTTTACGAAAATCCTGAGATACTGCTTTTAATGGATTTTTTTTCTCTTAAGGGATAAACGATGAAAATTCATTAGTTTTAGATTTAGATTTTAATAGGAATTTATTAAGAAATTTTTTCCTTCGGTGTATATTATTAGTCTTTGTTTTTTCTTTTTAAACATTTCATTGTCGCGCCTCTCATCGTGGCATTGTAATAACCCATTCACATAATTCTTGTTTAGGATCCGCTTGAAGAATGTATAAGGAAATAATGAAATAACCTACAACAGAGTTATTTATTTTACAAATCATTAACTTTTAATTTCACGGATTAAAGTGAAACGTTTCAGCAATGAATAATACATGTTATTTGAACTGTTTAACAAATTTTAGTGTTATCACAATTCAAGGTGCAAATAAATTTAAACGAACAATTATAAGTTAATAGTTTTTAAAATGGAAAATATAATTTTCAATAATTAAAAATAGTGCATGTATAATATTATTTAGAAGGCCGGATATTAAATTTACTTTTTCAACATCATTAAGTTAATATTAATTAAATTATAAATTTAAATAAATAAATAATGTAATTATTTTTCATCTTTAAATTTGTCAAATTCATTCTTCATTACACGAATTTCGTACTTCGAATTATTATTCGACGAGTAAGTTATATCAAATCGCATATAAAATATTTAAATTGATACTATAAAAAATAAAATGTACAAATTTTACGAAAACCATAGACGTATGCTCCGTAAGGACCTATATATACAGATAGATATATATAGATATACATATAAAATGTTTTTGTTGTTTTTCAATTTATTTTTATATTTAATTTTTCAAATTCTTTATGTTCCTTAGATAAGAGTGTAAATCTGTGGTTTTCATTAACTAACATTTTGTATGTAATTGAAAATAAAATTATTTAAAAATTTCTTCGTTGTTTCAACATCAAATCCTGCGCTCAAAATGATTGCATAAAAAAAAAAAAGAAAGAAAAAAGTAGAATACGTCGTTACGTACCGAGATTTCAGTACTATACCCGGGGGATCCCTTTTTCATGCAGTTCATACATTATAATTGTTTTTTTTTATTTTTCTTATGAATTGAATATTTTTATAAGAAAAATTGCTGCCACAGGATGCGCTTTCAAAAGTGCGCTACAAAACGCCATTTTTGTATCGTCGAGATTCTAAATATATTATTAAAGGTATTGTAAACTTTCGAACTATTAGTATAATTTGCACAAAACATAATTTAGCATTTTATTGCTTTTCTTTACATTATAATAATATTTTCCAACAAATTTTTTTATACAAACGATCTCAATTAGTTTGAAAGATCCTCGTCGTACATTTTTTCTTTTTATTGTTATTTAACGAAATTATGAATTTTGATAAGAATTCAGTATAATACAATACTAAAAAAAAAGAAAGCACAAATTTTTATTAAGTAACTGAATTAGTAGAATATTATAAATAATAAAAAACAAAACAAAAAAAATTCAAGAAATAACCGAATATTATATTGCTCGATATGCGTCTCATGCGGTCATTAAGTCAAGAAAAATGTAAATTACTGCATGGGGAGTGTATTTAATCAGCAGCTCCATGAAAATCGTTCCAGCATCCAGACATTCAAGCGTAAGAGATAGAACGTGAAAGGCTTTTCATTTACTTTTCAACATCTGAAGTTACGAAGCCTTTATCATCGTCTATAACGTTCGTCTTCGAAGAAGACTCGAGGCTACACGTGCGAAAGTGTGCGCACACTCATCTCAATCTATCTCTGTCTCTCTTTCTCTCGCTCGCTCACTCGCTCCCCGGCCTACCTACCAGAAAAATACTAACCGCTGCTCGCGCCAGGTGAACAGGACGCAAGCTGCATTCCAACGGGCTTTTTTTCTTCTTTTTTCACCGCGTTGCATCCTGGCGGTCGGCAAACTAATACGGATTTCGTGTCGAGTTGCAACATAAGATGCAGCTGCCGCGGGCGTACGTGGAGCATTTGGTTTCGTGTTCGTGGAAGTGGTGGAGGGCAGGCAAAAGACTCCCTGTGCTTATAGCCGGTGTCCAAAAATAAACGTGGAGTGGGGCGGGGAGAGGATGAATGGCTCCCGTTGCGCAACTTGTACTATCGATAACGTGCCCCGGCCTTTTCTCCACATCCTCCTCCTCCTCTTCCTCCTCCACCTCGTCTTGCCATCTTCTTTCATCCGCGCGCATTCCAGCGGTGAATGAAAGGAGCGGCGGCGCCAACCTAAGGTTAGGAGCAGGCTCGAGATGCTAGAAGCCCAGCATCCCTTCTCCATTCATAATGCACAAAGTTCTTTGTGTGAGTGACGATCTCGGCCGCATTCCTCGAATTCCTCTCTCTCTCTCTCTCTCTCTCTCTCTTTCTCTCTAGTTCTCCTCTTCTCTAATCTTTCACTTGACCGTGCGTTCCTAAGCTACTGATTCTTCGTGCATCAAGCCCGTAAATTAAGCACGATGATCGATGCATATTGGAGGGCGGGGGCGGGAAGAGCCGGGGAGGGGGGCATCGTATCCATGCACACGAGCATCGTTCGGGTTTACACGCTTTTTTTTGTATCACGCGTGATTCAAACAAGGCTCCCTTCATCGTACTCGTGAGATATTTTGCTTATCATCTTACGACTAAATCATAGCTCCGACCTCCGACGTATCGGCTCACTTGCTTTACGGCTCAACATTCCTTTTCCTTTATGACGTCAGGACTGTAAAAATACGAATACATTCTTTTCGTTTTATGTTAATAACGGAGCGCGCCTTTAGCCACACGCCTTAGCTTTTTCAGTGTGATAAACCGATCTTTTTTTCTCATCTTCCATTTTCCAATATTTTCCGTGGCAAATGCAGCTGGGAATTAAGTGCGCGTTAAACGCCATCGACTAATTAACGACCAATGCCACGACAAAGAAATCCGAGCATCTGGACTTATGGGAAGATCGATGTCGCCACGGCCCTACGTGAAAAAGTTACGCGCTCCCGCACGGTAACATCCCCGAGGTCGTCGATCCTAAGGGCGCACGTGTACGTACGCGTACGCGCGCACAAAGGCTCGCTAGGATCCTAGGTCCCGTTACGTAGGACGTGCGCGCGCGTTGACAAAAGCGAACAATGTCAACGGAAAGTAGAGGAAGGCTTTTTGCCCGTCCTTTCATAAGGGTAGCGCGCGACGACGTTAGAAGCAACAATGTTTCGCCCGCGCGCCCCGAGAAGGAAAATAAATGCGAATGCCACACGCGTAGGGAGGGGCCGTCGTTCTTTCTTTGTTGGCCGGAGCGAGATTTTTCGAGGGGATTTTCCGACTCGCGTGCAGAGCCAAGTATGGAGAAAGAACTTGGATCGAGCACGCGCAGGTATATGGCGCCGAATCAAACAAGCCCTGGGCAATCAAGAAGGGAAACCCAGGGCCCTGACGGACGCACGCGACGACTGCGTGGAGGGTCCTCGGGCTCCTCGAGGGGCAAATTCCAAGAAACGTCGCTTATCTAATTGTATTTGGCGGGGCGACGGCTTTTCCTCGGCAGCCTTTGTGCGCGCGCCGAGGTCTCCTTTGCTTTTGTTGCTCGGTGCAAATGCTCGGCGACGAGGGGCTGCACGAGCGCCTCGGCTGCTTATTTGCTCATTGGATTGTTTAATGTTACCGAGTTACTGATGTAAGTCCGGTGCGGTTGCCCGAGGGGGCAACTTATCCGAGATATGCGGATAAGCATTTATTATGCCACTATGTGCTATTGCTGTACTTTTTTTTATATAAATTATCATTCCTTATTTGCCCAGTACTGTGCAATACTTCGTTTGCAGTCTCTTTATAAAATGGACTGATTTCATTCAATCGAGTGATCTCGTATGCAGTTAGTTGCGCTTCGACTTTTATCGTTAAACCGTTGGTCGATAATGACTTTTGGTTATGGTATGGTATGGTCGGTCGTTTTGCTGAAACTTTGACGCAGACGGTTTAAATGGCTTTCCCAGTACGAGGAGGATTGAACTTTGAATGCCAAATGCTACATTCCCGCGTTTGAGATTCAACTTGTCGTTAATGCCATTAGCGGAAAAGCGTCGCTCCAACGCTCGATTTAATACGTAGAGCGACGAGTGCAAAAGCAATTCACATTCATACGAAGATGTTTATAATAAAGGGGACTTCGGTACGACTATTTATACAATCTATTCTACCTCGCATATTGTATCGTATGCATTAGAAAATTACCGTTACTATTCCAAGATTAGCTGGTGATCGTTTAAACAATTCATTCGAGAACCCGTGCCATATTTATGTCCCTACATATATCCAACAAAGATTTTCATTATTTATTCTTTCATATTAACTTTAACGGTTCGCTCGCAATTATACTTGACGAATCGATATAACGATCGACATTATTCTTTGCATTTTTTTTGCAGAGTGATAGCTAGATCGTATTTGATGTGAGGTGATGCTTGATTTATAAGTCATACGCTTGTAAAAAAAAAAAAAAAATAGAGTGCAATAGAGTCCAAATGGGAAGTGAAATTAATCTCTAAGAGGAGAAAATAGCGATAACTGGCTCTTGATGATTTTCTAATTTATATTTACAGGAATGTTGTTTATTTATTGCTAATCGGGTAATGTTATATTGAACGAATTTTTTAAGATAAAGCGATCGTAATATTATAATCATCCAATGCATAATATTTTCTTTTACAATATAATTAGAAAATTGTTAGAATATAATTATAAGAATTTGGTTATGAACATTGTTAATTTACCTGATGTTCAACCGTAAAATATGTGAAAAGTGTTTAAAACTCCAATACGTTTAATCGGTATTCTTGATCCATTCCAAAACGTTATATATTATATATTACGATTTTTCAAGTATCCATTCTGAATTCGACCGAAAATTTTGAAAACAATCTAGTTTATATTACGGTGCAAAGAAAGTAGTAAACATTAAAGGAATAAATACACATATATTATATTAAATATTTTCTTAATATGCACGAATAAACTTTTCACTATTAAAATAACAATTTTTTTACGGTTTTTTTCTTTTTAGATGGAATGATTAAGTATTATACTTCACGATTCTTCATTTATTTTAAAACATACTTACTTACCACCCATTAGCAATCGTATGATTTAATTATGATGAAATTTTAATTAATAATTTCGTTAATACTTTGCGTATCATATAAATTCTAGTCTCTAAAGAAAATAGCCAAAGTAATGCCAAACATGCAATTATTAAATGTAGTATTTAAGCTGAATTTTATAATAAATACTCATATTCATAGTTTTTATATAGGAAGAAGAGAAATAAATGTATGAACCTACGCACACACCCACCTTTATTTTAATGTATAAATTGAATTGTATAGAACTTTATCCAATTTTTCTGATATATATGTTTATAAGAATAAAATAGAGAGAGAGAGAGAGAGAGAGAGAGAGCGTATTATATAATTATGACTTTTGATTATTTAAGCTTTGAAAATATATTCACTACGCAGTTTATTATAAGTTCAATTTCAAACGTTATTTTTCAACTCAATCTTTTCGAAAGATATTTTTAACATTTGTGATTGCAATTAAAGTATTAAATTATTTCATATCATAGAACTGATAATTATTAAGTATACGAATAAATATACAAATAAGTATATAAATATTTATTATGAAATAATTTAATTTATTTAATATGAATCTATTCAATGATTTCGATATATAAGGAACGAGTAACACTATTTTCATATGTAAAAAAAATTTTTATTGGTTTGTTTCACCCTTTCTACATATTGTTAAACATAAGAGGAAGTTTAGGAATATCTAAATTGGGTTTTAAAGAAAGATTATAAAAAGATCGCAAAGTTGAATATATTTATAAATTTGTATTACTTTGTATTTAGTTTTAATTTATTCTTGGAAAAATTGGTTAAGTTTATTTGTATTATAAATTATTTGTTAAGAAAGGAGAATTCTTAATAAATTTTACTTTGTCAGAATCTCATTTAGTGCCTTTTGTATATTTCTTAAATAGTTTATTAAATATTTACTCAGAAATTTTTTCTATAGTTAATTAAAAAGGAAAAAAATGTTAATTCTATGCGTATAATTAAGATTTTTTTGTAGTACCTGATTAACGTCTTTTTAATGAATAATCTAAAATGGGAAAGAGCTTGTAGATGTTAAGAATTTCGCAAATACACTTTTCGAATAGAATAACATTAAAATTAAAGTTTTCTAATGTTGGTAAAGAAACTACACAAATATGACTATTAGGAAAATTGTTAGTTTTAAAATACAATAATTTGTAATAAAATAAAAAATATAATAAATATATAATTCTAAATTTAAAATGTAACATCTATTGTTATTATTAATAGTGTGATTTTAAATAAAGTTTTGAAATACTAATCTTAAATATTGATCCTTCATTTTTATGTATTAATACATATGAATACTCATAATTTAAAATCTATTAATTATTTAATACAAATTTTCAATTAATTTTGTATATATTCAGAAATATAAATTTTTTAATTTCTAATAAGGACTATTTATAAATAAAAGAATGAATATTTCTTTTATTATTGTAATAAAATTTATAATAATTAAAATTTTAATCTGTAATTGTACGTTTTAGTTGACTGAAAAATTTAGATTTAAAAATGTTTTGTAAATCAGTAAATGACTCGACAAAATATTTTTAATTCCTGCACAAGTAAGTGCAGTTAAATTAATTAGTTTCAAACCGATTAATTTCTTTACATTTTCTATACATATATATATATATATATATATATATATATATATATATAAATATATATATATAATTCTTTATTTTAAAAAAGATAATCATTTCGCGTGCTCAGGAGAGCCAATGAAATTCAAATTTAACTGCGCATGTGATTTTTATATGACGATTCTAACCTCACTATTTTTATGCTTGTTTATTGTTTGCATTATAGCTTTTTATTGTTAATTGAATTATGTTGTAATTTAGCGAAATGAAATTATAAATATCAGAGTTCATAGTATTTATATAATTATATATATTTATTATATTTTTGTTCAAAAAATATAAACAGATAAAATGACAGAACTTGCGGTATGTTTATTAGTAATTCTAAATTGTATATAAATTAATACGTAAATTTATATAATTCTTTAAGTAGAGCGACATTTCTTTGAAGATGCTGATTATTCTTATAGAAAACACTTCAATGTTATTATTTTTAATTGAAAAAATTAATTTTTATCGTTAGCTCGAATACTTATAAATTCATATTTATGTGTGTGTGTATTAATTTTATAAATATCAAGTATTTTGTGAAATACTTCATTTACAGGATATTTGTACATTACGAGTATTACATCTTCCACCTGGTCTCTCGGATCAGCGACGAGAAGAGCTTTTTAAGAAGTACGGAGCAGTGAAAACTAGAACAATAAGAAAATCAGAGAAATATACAATTACTTTTGTTGAATTTCCAAATAAAGAACATGCGACTGAAATTTTTTTACGACTTCATCAATTGCCGGTTAAAGGTCGAAGACTTTCTATTGAATTTGCTAAAAGAAATGTGTCCCTCGACGATAAAGATAATAGTGGCGATGATCAAGAATCTACCAAGAAGGAAAAAGATCTATCAGAGAATAAACTCTATTTTCAAGCATTTCTCAAAAAATTAAATAGTTGGGCACCTCATCATATGTTTACACAACCTATTCCTCCATACTTGAAGTATAAATATCCTTCACCAAATAAAAGTATACTTTTGAGAATAGCGATACAAATGTTAAAAGAACCGGCTTTTTATACTCAGGTATTTTTTTTATTATATTGAACTATAATAATAGTATTTTAGCGTAATGAAAATATAATTAAAATAAGTACAATAGTTTTGATAATTCATTTATATCTACATTTTTTTATTATAACTAGTTTCGATGTATATATTTCCTCGATGATTTATTCTTATTTCATTATAGTTGGTTTATTTTTACTTTTACAGGTATTACATTTAATGAATAAAATGAATTTACCACCACCATTTGAAGAGTTTGAAAAGGAATTTCCTTTCATTAAAGAGGCTTATGATATTGAAAATTATAAAGACATATTTGGTTTTACAACCGTATCGCAACATGATGAAGGTATAATCGCGTTTTTTGTTTTTGAATAATTATTGGTAATTATGGTGAATGTGCTGAATTATTATTCTGGAACATGTAATGTAGATAATTTTCTTTTCAAGAACAACGGTATTTAAAAAATTAATATGTTTATCATTAATTTGGATTTAGTATTTGAATATGTTTCTATTTGCTTTATATAGAATAATTATTGTAACTATTGCTCCTTGGCTTTGATAATTGAAACCAACAATTTTTAAATTCTTATAAATGCATATTTGAACAGAGATAAAATAAAATGATGTATTATTGAAATTTCAAAAAGAAATAGATGTATAAATTATTAGTTTTACTTTATAATATAATAAAGTCATTAAATATGTGTATTAATTGTAATTATCTAAATCTGTTGATTCTTATGTACAGTTTGTTATTTTTAAGATTGTATGAATTGCATAAATTATATCAATGTTTTAGATTTTATTAAAATTATAGTTTGAAGTTAATCATGAAATTTTATAAATTGATATGAAATATATTCGTTAATCCTTGCCATAAATATGTTTAGTTGCCAAAGATGACGAGAAGGACCTAGAAGAGGACGATGAAGAAGAGTCTGAGATAGAATCCGATAAAGAATCCAGTAGCTTTCCACAACTGATCATTCCAGAGAAACGAAAGCGAGCTCAGAATAAGAAACGCTTAAAGATTCCAAAATTCGTTAATCCTATGAAACAAAACGTTATGCCATCGACTAGTCAGAAACATAAACCAGAGGATATGTTTGAATTGTATCAGGGTGATCCGCGCAATCGGAAAATTGTACTTAAACCTGTTGAGTCTACGAGTAAACTTTTAATTACAGCGATGACTGAGGAGGAAAAATCGCTACACCTCCTAGAGCCAAGTGGCAATTCCGATGGCTTTGGTTTAATTTTTCCAAGTAAGAAGGATGATAGCGAGATAAAAGATGAGCAGACTAAACCTGAGTTTATAACCACAGAGCAGCTACACGATAACAAAATATCTGATAAAGGTAAGAAAATTTTTAAAGACTTTACGTAAATGTTATATTGTTCGTATTAACGAAAACAGAATGGTTGTTTATATTAATTGTAAAACTAAGTTGCATAATTTTACGACCACATAACTAAGAAATTATAAGAGTATGGACCTTTATTTATATATTATTCTTATTAAAAATTTGTTATATGTCAATTTACTGTATCAACATTATATTTAAATATTAAGACACTTTGCTTAAACTATTTAGTCCCAAGTTTTATTAGATTTTATTAGACCTATGAGAATGCTTAAATATATAATTATATACCTCTTTATGAATTAAATGTTCAGAATCAATTTTACTTAATTATTAAAGTAGATTACATAATAGCAGCAGGGATTGGAGTTTAGAAAAATTTTATAAGATTTTATAAGCTTTTGTAAATAATTAAATATTGTTAAACAAGAGATGTACTTTTTCATAATTTGCTTCATTTTAAACACGTGGATGGCACACATAACAAAATAAGTAAAGATAGTTTATTTATGGAAATTTTGAAACTCTATAATAATTAGACATTGATATAATTGCTCACCATAGAAAGAATAATAAAATATTATAAAATCTAAAAGAAAATTAATATTCTTTTATTTTCATTTTAAGATATTTTATTCATAAAAGTAAATAACGAATAAGAAGTTAAAATGAAGATGTTGTTAAAATTGAAAACTTGTTAAAAGCATTTGATAAATTATAAGTTTATTTGTAAACATGTTAATTTCACGATAATATTAATATTAAATTATAGATCAAAGATTGCTGCCGGTATTTAAGAACTATCACCCTGGGAAACCGTCCTGTCGTCTCTATATAAAAAATCTTGCAAAGCAAGTAGAAGAGAAAGACCTAAATTTTATTTATCGACGCTATGTTTTACCCAGTTCTAGTGAAACTCAATCCGAGTATGTATTCCACTGTTACTTATATAATATATGTGAAAAAAAAAAATAAATAAATAAAATAAAAATAATAATAATAACGCTCTCATTTTTAAGGTATAATGTTCGATTGATGCAAGAAGGAAGGATGAAAGGTCAAGCATTTATTACGCTTCCCAATATTGCTCAAGCCCAATTAGCACTCGATGAAACGAATGGCTACATTTTAAAAGATAAGCCAATGGTAGTACAATTTGCAAAAGTTACGAAACATCAATAGTTTTACCATTCCTTTAGCTATTTTTGTAAATAATATACCTCTAAGCAAAAAAGTACTGTAATTATATAAATTTATTAAAGCTGTGGTAATATTCTATAATTTTAAATAATTGTACATTGTAAATTTATATATGTATATAAAAATTAATCTAAGTGTATACAGTTAATTTTAATCAAAGAAATAATTTATTTAATTTTGATCCATACGTTTGTGTATGGTAATTATTATTATCACATTATATCTACATACAAAAATTTGAATATAAAACAATTAAAATTTCATTCTAAATTTAGCTTAATGTTTCTTAGCAGTCAAACCGTTGAAAGTGTCATCTATTTTATCCTTATATATAACTTTTCTTTCTAACAAAAGATTTCTTGTTTCTGTGCAAATTAAGCAGCGCATTGCCTTTACCAAAATTACTTTACAATGCTTATGACGCCAATAGCGGCAATTGTCTTTAAATACAAAATCAGTCTGCATTATGTTTAAATCACTACCAAGCCCGTCACATACTTGCATTTTGTCAAAGATATGCAAAATGCTGAGTAATTTTTTCGTATTATCTAAAGCTTTTGGTAGTATCGTACCCTTGATATCTACGGGTAGTCCGTGAACGGAATAATTTATCGCTGCTCCTTTACTAATGATAAGACTCTTTCTCATCACGGATATTAAAGTATCGTTCTCCTTAATTACGTGTACATTGAAGAAAACAATGTATCGGTCCTTTGTTTCACTCGTGAATTCAATAACTGACCAGGATTTAGGAGTGATGAGATATCGATAATTTTCGAGAAGACTAGTATAGACATCCCCATCTTTTTCCTTACAAAGTAAATATTTTATACTACTTTTATTGTACATATCATTTTCTACGTTTTGCTTGTCTATGAAAAACATATTATAGAATATTTCAATGAATTATAAAAATTTTATTACGAGCCAAATTTGATTAGAGCAAAATCTTACCTTGAGCTATAGAAGATAATCTTATTTCGTTACATTGCATGGTAGGAGGCAATTTACCATTCATTTTTTGATCAACTAAACGAATTATAAATAAAATATAGTCAATGTTAGCAATATTTCAATGCATTATATTTCATTCGTTTAAACAAGTAAATAAACAATTTGTAGTAAACTATTTGAGTAAATAATTGTGGTAAATTGTGGTCTGCTTAATAAATGATAAGATTTTCTAATAAATATTATCAGTTTATATAACAAGCTTAATTTGAAAATTATAGACAGGGGCATGATTTAAATTTATAATTTACAAATCAATTATATGATTTTAATTAATTAATTATTAAATATATCACTTTTATACTTTGGGAGCATAGATTTTTATGGGGAACAGCTTTTAAAAGGAATAGAGGGGAAGCGAGAAGAAGAGTTAATTAAAATTATCTACACTTATTTATATAAAATTTTGAAATGTTAGTGGGGTTCTGTTGTTTTATTGATTTCAAAAAAAGAAAATGGCGAGACCCAATTTTTTTATACAAATATTTTAAATTTTCATGAAAAAAATTTTAACCTTTTACTTGTTTTTTTTTACACCATTTAGAAATAGTTTTAGGTAATAAAATAATATCAAATACATAATGTTTAATGAATGCATAATGAATGTTGGTTTACAATGGTTGAACAATTACAATATTAAATTTATTTAAGAATTTAAGCCAACTTCTACGATTTACAACATTTATAAAGCAAAATAATTAAAAATAATTTAAATGACACTGAATTTTTGTTAATATATTTTTAATCAAAATTATTCTTATAATTTTATTAAAATTACGAGTCTTAACAATTTTACACAATACATAATGATTAGTTTTTATTTATACAGTATCAAAATTAGATGAAAGAACGAATTATTTGGCAAATTATAATGGACTTTGTTATCAAGCTATATAAATCAATGTTTCAAAATTGAAACGAACTGTTCAATTTTTCAGGAAAATATATAAGACTTGTACATATTTTTATTTTTATATATTTTTATTTTAATGCACTATATATTTACGTAATATATAACTTTGTAAGCAAGATTATGGTAAAATAGTATTTCTATTATAAATACTTATTTAAAGTTTTTATTTATAATGTTTGCACTAATATTAGACATAATTTAAAATCTTATATTAGCATGATTTCATTTTTATTTTATAAATAAATATTTGCCTATGTACAACTGTGTAAATATAATTTTTTTTTTTCACGTTATAATGATAGTCATTATATAAGCAAAGAAGCATAAATTATAAATATATTTCTAAATAATATACTTTTGCATAACTTTTTGGCATTAAATAAGCAATTTCATATTCTATGTAAAAATTGCACACGAACAGTTTACCTTTCAGATTGTCTGTAGAATTATTTATCCATTTAACGTTACACGAAGTTTTTGAGATTTTTGGAGCAACTAATTTCTCTTCATTTTCTGGGTTTGATTTTCTGTTTACAACATTAGTATCAATAGGCTTTTTTATTAATTGTACATCCGTACTTTTTGTCGATTGTTTGGCTACTTTACGTTTTAAAATATTACATTTGATTTTTTTCGATAGAATATCATTAGTTTGTTTTTCTGTTGGTTTATTGCTCAAAATATTATTCGATACTGCCTCCTGCATTAAATGAATAACAATGGCGTTTATGTTTAGTGTTTAACATAATTATTAATAATTTTAAAAACAAAGAATTTACTTGATCGATTTTTTGAATCGTTGTATCTGACACATTGGGTTTTAATTTGCCCAAAGGAATATCATTTACATTTGAAATTAGCATAGCATTCCTACTCGAATCATCTAACTTCATTACATTCTGAAAAGCAATAATATCATTATATCAACAAAATAAATACAAATTGTTATAACAATCTGTATTACTTGTCCAATTGTAACATGACTCGAAGAATTACGCTTCATCCATTTTTCAATAAGAATTTTGTTTTCATAATCTTCGTTGTACGACTGAACACTTTTAGATTTCTTGTGCATTACTCTACAGATCTATTGTTTAAACTCCATAATAAGCTACGAATTAAGAAAAAGTAAAATGTAATTGGCCGATCGAATTAATTGCATTTATCATTATTTATATCATTGTAGAAATTTGTGAAATATGAAAATTTGTAATTATGCAGAGCAAATGTAGTACGAGCATAATACTAACCTGAAAAATATAAATATTAAGTTCATAAAAATGCTTTTATCTTACAATTCTACTTAGCTCATACAAAACAATGATACGTCTAATAATCATTAATTACAATAAAAAAAAAAAGTAAGTATTCACTTTTAAACTTTTTCGATCATAAATCTCTAATGAAAGTGCATTAATTTCCTATCTTTATGTAAATTACAAACACTGTATAGACTTTTTTGTTTTCTTTTGCATATAAAGACTATCAGTGAAATCAGATCAGAAAACAATCCAAATTTGTACGCTAGACCGAAATTAAAGATTTTCATTGGTTACTTTGTATTCCATTGGTACGGTAGATTTTCGTGACCATTGGAATTTAGCCTGAAATTGGATTCTAGAGATAGTCGATATTTTGATAGCGTGAGAGCGGATTCTTCGAATTTTTAAAATAAGAGTAATAATTATGGAAATATTGGCATTGAAATTTATTCTTAAAAGCATATTATTAAGTAATATCAGGAGTCTGTGAATTTATAGATATAGATATAGATAATATAGATTCCTCTGGGATTATTTAATTTCATTAATTATAAGAGCCTGTGATTGTCAATTGAATAATTATTGAATATCACAAATTTGGATTTTAAATGCCCAAGTTATGTATTGATTTGGGACATAAGCTAAAGGGATCTTTTAATAAATTATAAATGAGATGATAATCAATTATGTTCGAATAGAGCAATTTATTCTTAATTAGCTTAAATATTGAAATTCGTGTATGTACCTACCAAGTGTATTTTACTTAGTTTGAAATTTGGATTACGCGCAGAAAATTAAGGCAAGTTCATTTTTTATTTTTATTTTAATTGTTTTTTTTTTTTTTTTTTTTTTT